GGGGGGGGCGGCTGGAATGGTGTATACGCCTTGCTTGACACCCCTGGCCCAGTCACGTAGAGACTCAGTCCTGGTTTCCTTGCCCCACCCGATCTGGCCATGGCTGATGAAATCCCATGCTCCCTGACCAGATCAGTTTCGATTGTTCTGTGCTTGATTGCACAAGGAAGTCCTGTGACCCTGTGATTATCATGCAGATAGTGTTGCTTTACCGGACACCACTTCACTCTCCAGTCACAGGAATTGTACAGAACTGAGTCAAGAATACCACTCCTTAAGTCTCATGCCATTTTCATAGCCATAATACCTTTTCATTGGCATTCAAATAGAATCATACCAAACACTTACAAATGGTGCTTATTATATGCCAGACACTATTCTAATAGCTTCTACATATATTAACTCTAATCCTGATACCAACCAGGGTGGCCGATGGCCCTGGTTTACCTGGGACGGAGGAGTTTCCTGGGATACAGAAATTTTAATGCCAACACTGGGTCAGTCTTGGGCAAACCAGGACTGTTGGGCACCCTAACATAAAACAATGTTTTTCTTTTTTAAAAATATTTTTTTATTAATTTCAGAGAGGAAGGAAGAGAGAGAGAAACATCAATGATGAGAGAGAATCATTGATTGGCTGCCTTCTGCACACTCCCCACTGGGGATTGAGCCCGCAGCCTGGGCATGTGCCCTTGACCCGAATTGAACCTGGGACCCTTTAGTCCTCAGGTCGATACTCTATCCATTGAGCCAAACCGGCTAAGGCAAACAGTGTTTTTCTTAATTTTTATCATCAGACTTACTATACTGTGTACCAACCAGCATCACGCTCTGCACCTCCAGGAACCATGGTCTTGGGTTTTACTTGCACCTGCCCCTCTGATGTTTTCCCACTATACTCTTTAAAGAGTATTTTCTTGCCCTTTTCAGCCTGGGTTGTTGACCTTGAAATGTTTTGTGTTCTCCTCCTCCTGCGTTTCTCATGCGGCCTGAATGAGGCTTTTAGATAATCATTGCTGCTGCTTTCCTATTCTTTATTCCTTATTCTTCCTTTCTTCCTTCTCTAACCCCCCTCTCCTGGATAACTATCACTTTACCCTTCTCTCCCTTTTCAGGCCAGTATTTTGTCCTTCATATAAGTGTTGTGTCACGTGTCAGCTGTAGTGCTTCTTAGCACATTCGCGCTTAGGTCCAGGCTGGCCGTGGTCTTCAGCCAAATGTGTTGCACACCCGAGGGATGGCTTCAGGGCTCTTGAAATGCCTTCCTCTCCTCTCCAGAAAGGCAGTGTCATACACCTAGTGCTGGAAAGCCCCAGAAACCAGCAGGTTCAGTCACTAGCCTGAGGCAGGCGAGGACTCCTCATGTACAGAAGACAGAGTTGAGGCATTATGTCTTCAGCCTCTGAGTACAGTGTATCTCCTACTGTATGTCTCCCGTGAAGCGAACTAAAATATCCACAGTTAAACTTTTTCTCCCCTTTCCCAAGTTTTGTGTCCTGTGAAATGTGATAACATTGGTCGAGTTAAGCAGTCTGGGAAGTATTGACCCGTAAGCTCTATCAGTGATTTACAGTTCACCATGAACAAGTGCATTGTCTTTCTTTTTTTCAAAAATATATTTTTATTGATTTCAGAGAGGAAGGGAGAGGGGGAGAGAGAAACATCAATGATGAGAGAGAATCATTGATTGGCTGCCTCCTGCACGCCCCACATTGGGGATCAAGCCCGAAACCTGGGCATCTCCCTGGCCAGGAATCGGACAGTGACCTTCTGGTTCATAGGTTGACGCTCAACCACTGAGCCAACCTGGCTGGACTCTATTCTCTTTCTTGAACAGGTTTTGATAAGGGCATGGTCAGTGACAGCTGAACAAGAAATCTCGAGAGGAGCTAAAATGGAACGAGTTAGCAAACTGAAGGCAGGCTGTTCCCTAAACCAGCATTTCTCTAAGTGCGGTCTCCAGACCAGCTGCATTGGCATCTCCTGGGATGTTCTTAGAAATGAAAATTCTCAGGCCCCACCCCAGAATCAGAAACTCAGGTGGGGCCTTGGGAATTTGTAATTTTGATTGCCCGCTAAAATTAGAGAACAGCTGTCCCAAATTAGACATGGTTCTGACATGTGACATAACACTGGGAATAATACACCAGAATCCTCAGGGGGGACACAACTGAAATTAGGAGGTTGACTGGCAGTATCGTGTGGATGAAAACGCATTTAGTACTTGAAAGTGCTGATGCAGGTGAGTCCCCTTCCTCCCTTCCCCTCAGGTGCCCAGAAGTTCTGTTGGCCCTCAACCTGACCCTACCTCCATGAATAAAGCATTCTTTCCATGTTTTGCACTGAAAACCATGTCTTAGAACCCCTGACCTTCCCATATATGCACACTCCATGTATGCACACAGTCAGATGTGCTTCAGAAATGACACTACAGTCCTGGCCGGTGTGGTTCAATGGTTGGAGCATTGGCTGAAGGGTCTCAGATTTCATTCCAAGTTAAGGGCTCCTAACAGGGTTACAGGCTCACACCTGGGTTGTGGGTTCGCTCCCCACTCCCATCGTGGCATATGTGGTCAATGTTCCCCCTCCTCCCACTCTCTCTGAAAAGCACTGGAAAAAATATCCTCAGGTGAGAATTAACCAAAAACTTAAAAAATGACATCACAGATTGCCTTTCGTTTCAAGTTACTGTAACAAGTTTGCTACACACAGATATTTAGTACCACGTCACCATCTATTTCTATGATTATATCATTTTTAAGATTATTTTTAGGTCATTCTTTGCTTTAAGTGATGTCAGAGTCTTGAACAATGTTCTTAAATTCTTGCTGAGAGCAAAATTCTGAGAGGTGGCAAAAATACATATTTTATTTTATATATATTATATATATATATTTTAGAGATTTAGACCTAGAGCTGAATTCAAGATCTGGCTTGTGGATTTAGCATGTGCTTATTGTTGTTTTCTTTCTTCGTTACATTTTTTTTTCCTTTACAGGAACTTAAGAATGAAGTCTGGGAATATTCTTCCAATGTCATGTGTTTTATTAATGATCTGCTGCTGGGTGATGCACTTGAACTTCAGAAATGGGCCCACAAGGTGTGGAATATGATTGACTTTAAGCCTCCTGCACTTTATGAGGCACTTACTATGGATTTTTCTACTAAATTCTTAAGCGACACCAAGGCAAGTTACACTGACTTTTAAAGGAAAATAGTGGAATCTTTGATGATTTATGTTGACTCAGCATTAATTACTGATATCCTAATGAAGGGAATATAAAAGAGTAGGAAACCAGGTTTGCAAAGGATTATAATGTGGTAGGGTTTGGCAGCCAGGAATATCTCCATTCAGACGTTCCCACTCCCCTTAGAGCAGCGGTTCTCAACCTGTGGGTCGCGACCACCGGAAAACACATATAGCATATCAGATATTTACATTACAATTCATAACAGTAGCAAAATTACAGTTATGAAGTTGCAACGAAAATAATTTTATGGTTGAGGGTCACCACAACATGAGGAACTGTATTAAAGGGTCGCGGCATGAGGAAGGTTGAGAACCACTGCTAGAGGTTTATAGACATTATCATTTGTGTTAAAATATAAAGACTCTCCCTCAAAGAAGGTCAAACCTATTGCTAACTCACCTTCAGAGTGGGATATTTTAATTAGTACTAACACCGAAGTGACAGTTACTGCACCAGGAGAATGGGAAGTTTGGGAAGGAAGGTGACATTTTAAAGCATGACACACAGTTGATGAGAGCAGGATGCCATGTCACTGGGGTTTCTACGGCAGAGGACAGTCATGAAGTCTGAGGTCCAGAGAGTGAGGGACAGACGTCAGGATTGGATGACAATAGAGATAAAAGTACTCTAATTTTGCTCACAAAGTTTGTAGCAACACCTATACCACATGTTGAAGATTACTACATGCTCCTGGTGACCTGGGCCTACAGATAGATCCAGTGCCTTTCTGAGCTGTGCAAGGGCAAAGACCAGTATCTTGCATCCCTGTTTAATCACTGCATGGAGCGGAATTTGAAACATAGTAGGGGGTCCATGAATGTTTGGTTGAATAAACAATGCACTTGGAAAATGTAGAAACTATGGGGTGCAAGGCGGCACTTAATGTGCATAGCAGTACATGGTGTGCTCTGGGAATAACTGGGAAGGCAAGGAGACCAGAATTACTGGGGAAACGTGGCTGGAAGAAAGAGTATCAGTCACGATTCTCGATGTCATCTATACTAAGCTACTCTGATTAATTTAGATTAAGGAGAAAGGGTATGTATTTAAGGGATATTGGTAACCTCATAAGTGACAGGTAAGCTGAGAACCTGCTTTGGAAAGCAGGTAGGGACCAAAGGAAGCCTGACCACAGGAGAAAATGGCCAGAGTCACCCTCCCAGGAATATGCAGCCAAGGACTGCCATGGGTGCCCGCTGGCCTGGGTTCAAATTGTCACCTTCCCTAAGAATAACTTCTCGCTGCCCTGTGTCTTTGCCCAGGCAGGAGCACCTACCTAACTAGTGGAGCCCAGGTCATATCCCTGCACCCTGGCTCTCAGGATGGGAAGAGGGAGAATCTGGCCCGTTCAGGGTTTGTGGAGGGTGGCCGGGACCTGTGGGGAATTCCCCAAGTAGGAAAGGTCTTCAGCTGTTAAATAGGAAGAAAAAAAACAAAAAGCCAACAAACCAACGGATCCATGAAAGAAAGGTTGAACTTACCATCCATTCTGAATCAAGAAGGAACTTTTCATAAAGAGTATGACACAGTCCTTTGCTTTTCTGGAAAAACTTTTAGGGCTGTGCAGAAACAGGCCTGGCGGCAGGGCAGCCTTCTGGAAAGCTGCTATAGCAGCATGGGCTAGAGGTAAAGACAGTTTCCGTTAACTAGTGGCAGTGAGGGGAGGGGACCTACTTTCCAGAGAAGATCCTTAGGTTTTTGTGTCTCTCCCCCCCCCCCACAAATGGTAGATTTTTCTTGCTGAGTAAAACCCAGGGACTTGTTTACCTTTGAGTTGGATTGATGTGCTACATAATTATATTTGTGTGTTTGGCTGCTAGGTGACATTATCTTGTATTGCCTTCCTTTTACTCTCTTTTCATTAGAATTTTCACAATTACCTGCTCTTGACAACCCCAGAAAAATAAGATATTATTGCATAGGGAATCATGATTTTCAGTAGATCCTTCTTCTTCCTCTAAGCCTGTGAAGTGGACTATGTTATGCCTCTTATTCTATTTTTTTAATTAGTTTTATTTTTATGCCTCTTATTCTAAAGTGATAATATCTACACTAATAAAAGAGAAACATGGTAATTGGCGTACGACCGCTACCCTTCCCATTGGCTAATCAGCGAGATATGCAAATTAACTTCCAGCCAAGATGGCGGCCGGCAGCCAGGCAGCTTGAAACTAACATGAGGCTTGCTTCCTTCAGTGAAGGAGGAAACCATCCTTCCCGCCTGCCTTGCAGGCCTCTGAGCCTGCAGTTTGAACATTGTAACAAAAATAGAAGCTAAACAAAACCCCAGAAACCAGCTTTCAGTGATGGGGGATCTCAGAGCTGGAGTTGATACAGAGTTTCGAATAGAATCGAAACAAACCAGATACCTACTTTCAGCAGTGGAGGCCTCAGACCT